GTTCATGGGTCGATGCTCAATCACTGAGCCACATGGGCTGGGCCATGATTAGGTTTTAAATGAAATATTTATTTGTTTTTATGAAAGTTACACATGTACATGCATGTTCTTTATTATATGTTCTTTATTACTTACAATGGGGGAATGGGTGTGAGGTGGAAGGGATCAATGGGGGGAAAAGGGGGACATCTGTAATACTTTTAACAATAAAGATACATTTTTTTAAAAAGTAATCCTTATCCCACTCTGCTTCCCAATGCTTAAAGGAGATTACAACTCTTAGCTGATTCTTCTGGCATTTATTGATTTTTCTAAATATCATGCCATTTCTTGTTTTTTAAGTTTCAGATTTAAAAAAATATATTTTTATTTATTTCAGAGAGGAGGGGAGAAGGAAAGAGACATAGAAACATCAACGATGAGAGAGAATCATTGATTGGCTGCCTCCTACATGCCCCACTCTGGGTTGCAAGCCCACAAGCCCGCAAGCCCAGCATGTGCCCTGACCAGGAATCGAACCGTGACCTCCTAGTTCATAGTTCGATGCTCAACTTCCTCCATGCCAGCTGGGTAAGTTTCAAATATACACTGACTTCTATTTTTAATATGAGGACTTCATGCTCTCATCCTCCACATGAATATGCTTGTACTTTCTCTCTATTCTCCTAATATAGTAATGTTACTTTTGTTAAATCAATATTGAATGTTTACAACTTATGAGTGTGTAAATGTTATTTTCAAGCTGTGACACTTAATGTACTGTTTATATTCCCTTTCTTGTATATTTCCCCTGAAATTAATAATTCTCTTTTTTAATTTATTTACTTAACTATCTATGTACTTATCAATTAATTCTCATACTCTCTTCTAGAAATCTCCTCTCAATATGTTCAGATACAACCAAATAGTTTATCAGTTTTATCATTTCCTTTTTTTTTTCCTTACACAAATATATGCCTCCAAAACATTTCACCTTTCTGCTCCAACCTGAGATGGTTGTTCTCTAAGCCTACTGCAAAGCTATTGGTCTTGGATCCTTCACCAGCAACCAGCATATATCCTTCACTTATTTCCTAGGTTGGATACCCTTTTTCCTGGTTTCTATGACTTTTGTTTATTTGTTTACTCTCATTTTGGTGGAGTACATCTCCAATAGCTTCCTGAAAGGGGTGCATGATAGATAATTTCTTTGAGACTACAAATTCTCATAATTAACTCAGCCAGTGTGGCTCAGTGGTTGAGCACTGGCCCATGAAGCAGGAGGTGATGGTTTAATTCCTGGTCAGGGCACGTGCTCAGGTTGCAGGCTTGATCCCCAGTAGTGGGTATGCAGGAGGAAGCTGATGGGATTGATGTTTCTATCTCTCTATCCCTCTCCCTTCCTCTCTCTAAAATCAATAAAAATATATATTTTTTCTCATAATTAACTGATAGCTGGCTAGGTGAAAAAATCTAGGTCGTTAGTTATTTTCTTCAGATATTTGATAACATTGCTCCATTGTCTTTTGGCTACCAGTGTTGCTGCTGACAAGTCTGAAGTCATTGTAAATATCCATCCTTTGTGACCTGTTTTATTTATTTATTTATTTATTTTTTAAAAAATATATTTTAGTGATTTTTTACAGAGAGGAAGGGAGAGGGATAGAGAGTCAGAAACATCGATGAGAGAGAAACATCGATCAGCTGCCTCCTGCACACCACCTACTGGGGATGTGCCCACAACCAAGGTACATGCCCTTGACCAGAATCGAACCTGGGACCCTCGAGTCCACAGGCCGACGCTCTATCCACTGAGCCAAACCAGTTAGGGCTGTGACCTGTTTTATGTCTCAGAAGCCTTTAGGGTGCTCTCTTTGACTCCAGTGTTCTGATATGTGGTAGATCTTTTCTCAATGGATCCCCTCAGTTTTTGTTTTACTACCCTCTCATTCTGAAATTCATATAAATCGATGCTGGAGATTCCTGAGTTGACTCTATAATTTTCTTTTTTCCCCCTCTCCTATTATCTATCACTTTTTTGTCCAGTTTTCTAGAATATTTTTTCTTGTTTTTTATTATTGATAGATTTGAGAGAGATCAATTTTTGCTGTTCCACTTATTTAGTTGATTCTTGTATGTGCCCTGACCGGGGATTGAACATACAATCTTGATGTACCAGGATGCTGCTCTAACCAGCTGAGCTATCTGGTCAGGGCCTGGAATATTTATTCAACTTATATTTTCCAATGCTTCTATTGATATTTTCTCTCAGCTATCATATTTTTAATTTCCAGTAACTTTTTATTATTCTCTGGATGTTTGTTTTTATAGCTCTCCTCTTCAATATTCTATTCATCTCTAAGGATACTAATTATAGCCCCCCCCCCCATTTTCTTTTGTTTCCTGGAATTGTTTCTATATTCTCTGAGAATTTATTTTCTGTTTCTGTTTTGTTTTGACTTGTTTTCATGTTAACAGTTTTTCCCCAGTGCTATTGGCTAGTCATTTCTACAAGCAAGGCACTGGGTCATTTCAGTATGTGGTCATTCAAATTAATCTAATTATCCAAATTTGTTCTCCACTCAGGGCCTTGGAATATGCTGTTCCTATTGTCTGTGTATTGGTTAAACTGCACTGCTGGAACCGTCTTCTACTTTTTCTAAAACTGGCTTCAGGCCTCAGTTTAAATGTCACTACAGAAATGGGTTCCCCATTACTATTTTTTTTTAATCTCTGAACTTTTTATTGGCCTCTTACCCCTCCCCAAAGGGCGCCACACTTTTGCTGCCTTTAACACCTTAGAACTTTGGTGTCGTTGACCTCAGACACTATTTTGCCATCCACAATCCTGCAAGCGGTGGTCTTCTGAATGGATTGCATGGACTGGCTGCTGTCCACGGCATCACTAAGATGGAAGTCCTCCCCTTCTTCCAGCAGGTGGCGGTAGGTGGCGACCTCAAACTCCAGCTTGTCCTTGATGTTCAATAGGGTCTTGTACTCCTGGGTCTGGTGCTGCCCCTCAGCCTGGGCCTGGGCCAGCTCTGTCTCTAGGTGCAGTAGGATCCTGTTGAGCTGCTCCACCTGCACAGCATAGCGCATCTCCACCTCCCGTAGGCTCTTCTCCAAGCCGGCCTTCAGACTTCTTATCGAGTCCAGGTCAATCTCCAAGGACTGGACCATACGTCTCAGCTCTGTGATTGTCATCTCAGCAGCTCCTATCTCAGCGGTCTGCAAGTGACCACTGTGGTGCTCTCCTCAGTCTGTTGGGACCAGTACTTGTCTAGCTCCTCTTGGTTCTTCCAAGCCAGCTCATCATACTGGGCTGGGATGTCTGCCATGATCTTGCTGAGGTCCTGAGATTTGGGGCAGCCAACTCCACAGTCAACCTAATCTGGTTTTGTAGACCATTTACTTCCTCCTCATGGTTCTTCTTCATGAAGATCAGCTCCTCCTTGAGAGCCTCGATCTCTGTCTCCAGCTGCAGTCGAGTGATATTGGTGTCATCAAGGACCTTTCGCAGCCCATTGATGTCACTCTCCACAGAATGAAGCACGGCTAACGCTGTCTCATACTTGACTCTGAAGTCATCAGCAGCAGGACAGGCACTGTCAGTCTGTAGAACAATGCAGGCATTGTCCACAGACCCTGCAAAGATCTGAGCCCTCAGGTCCTCAATGGTTTTGAAATAATGCCTCCAGTCTCTGACCTTCTTCTCCAGGTGTTCCCAGATTTTGATCTCCAGACTCCGATTATCAGCCTCCAGGCTTCTCACCCTCTCCAGGTAGGAGGCCAGGCAGTCATTCAGGCATTGCAGTCTCCTTCTCGCTCTGGATGCCCCCTATGCCTGCTAGACCCATGACCATCCCCACAGTGAGGCCCCCGGACCCCCAGCCACTCTGCACACTGGTGGAGTGGGACATGGAGAGCTGGGAGCCCGAGCCCCGCACCTGCATAGATGCTGGCCATGCTGCTGGTTGGCCAGACCCAGTAGCTGAGCGACTGCAGGGAGTCCGGTAGTTTGAGGAGAAGCCGGAGCGGGTGCTGAAGCTCACGTTGTCCAGGGAGGAGGGCGAGAAGCCGAGACTCACCTTCAGACAGCAGTTCCCCTGTTACTCTTCATCCTCACACCTTTGTTTCTCTTTTAACACTTAACACAAGTTGTCATTCTATATTGTTTGGTTTGTTTACTTGTGAATGGAATCGAACCTGGGACCCTTCAGTCCATAGGCCGACGCTCTATCCACTGAGCCAAACCGGTTAGGGCATAAGTTTCCTTTTTTAAGAGAGGGCAGGCCCTGGCTGGGTGGCTCAGTTGGTTGGAGTATCCTCCCTTGCACCAAAATGTTGCAGGTTTGATTGTGAGTACAGGAAGCAACCAATTGATGTTTCTCTCACACATTGATGTTTCTCTCTCTCTCTCTCTCTCTCTAAAAAAATTAGTAAAAACATATCTTCAGGTGAGGATAAAAAGAAAAAAAAAAAAGAGAGAGGCAACCTGGGCATGTACCCTGACCAGGAAACCAACCTGTGACCTTTCAGCGCACAAGGATTATGCTCAACCAACGGAGCCACACCAGTCAGGGGGCATCAGCATCTTTAACAATGATATTTTGGGGTAGAATTTAATAATATATTTCATTTTTATTGTATTTATTTTTATAGTTACTTTCTGCTTTTGGACAAGTGATACGGATTTTAAGTTTCTAAAGGAATATGAGGTTTGACTTACATGCTTTATTTAAGACGTATACAAAAAAATTAAGTAATAGACAGTAGTTCAAGTGATACTTAGGTATGGCAAAAATTATGAGGATGGCACTGAGGTTTATTGCCTTCCCATCAATTCTATGTTGAGGGAGAAGCCGGCTTGAAGTTCCAGCCTCAAGCGGGTTCTGCTATGGGAGCTAGTTGGACAAAATCACAAATTAAAATTCACAACCAGCCTGCCCGGTGTGGCTCTGCCGGAGTGTCCTCCCGGGCACTGAAAGGTCGCAGGTTCGATTCCGGGTCAGGGAACTTACTCAGGTTGAGGGTTTCATCCCCAGTAGAGCAAGGGAGGTGGCTAAACGATGTTTCTCTCTCTTCTCTCTCTAAAACCAATAAAAACATATCCTTCGGTGAGCCTAAAAAAAAAAAATTCACAACTAGTTCTTCCCTGTGATGTTTCCTAAGCATGTCCCCTTGTCCCAATAAACTCCTCAGGGCCGGGGGGTAGTTTTGTGGATGAATGGAGCTAGGAATGAGAGTGAGTTTCGTGGGAAACGTAAGCTTCACGCCGTATTCAGCTGCCGGCGAAAGACCGTGTGCGGCTGGCGGAGACAGTGCAGTGAGAAACGGCGTGTGTACATTGTCCAACCTCTTAGTCCCGAATCCAACTCCACAGCCCGATTTTGGGGGTCCTCCAACACTTCTAAGCCATTGCATCTTCACATTTAAAGTTTCCGTGGGGAAATGGGCAAGACCAAAGTTTTAGGACACACGGGGTGTGCCGCGAATTTCTGTATTAGAGGGGTTGGGGCAGCGGGACAGTGCGGTTGCAATGGGGTCTCGGAGTTGCGTTGCACATGCTTTTACATACGAGCACGTGGACAACGCAAGGGGCTAACTGGGCCGTGGGGTATTTATTCTAAGTAACAGCGCCAAACTCAGTCCGGAGTTCTGACAACGGAACCGGCGGCCCATTCCGCCGCCCCGCCCCACAGCCCCCGCTGTTCCCTCCGGGAGAGTCCGTCCGCGTCCCGGGCCGTCCCCGCAT